ATCTCCACACCATCAAGCTCATAGCGAATTTCGTCAAATATGAATGCGACGCAATTATTTCCCCAGCGTCACATTAGATCCTTCAACTGGATGTTTATCCGCAGTTCTCCTCGATGTAGAGGAAACTCTCATACGGCAACGTATATAAATTCTGTTGTTGTATGGGTATTTTTATCTCGTCGCTGTGTTTAAATGTTGTGTTGGCAAACGGGTTGTATGTGTGAGTCTCAATCTTGACGATGCGATCGTCCAAAGACTGGCTCTTCCTTGATGTTGAGAATTTCAGTCATTGTTCAGATGGCACGCACCGCAAATCCCAAAGATTGTAAAAACGCAACGTTTGACGAGATGAGTCTCTTCTTCGCGGTTGATTTAATATTAGCGTATGATGTTGCTGCTAGCCTGATTGTGTTCTCTTCGTGTTTTTATTCAACACGAGCATCCCGTCGCACGAGGTGTTGCTGCATATTCAGTATTGAAGGCGTCGGTCGTCGAGCGATTCAATCGCACGCTAAAGAACGACATGTGGAAGATGTTTACGCTGAATGGCACTTACAAGTGGGTCGACATGCTGCCACGCCTCGTATCAGATTACAACGGACGCAAGCATTGAACGATTGGTATGCGACGCGTCGACGTTACCCCCGCGATCGCCGAAAGACTTTTAGCTACCGTGTACAATCGTGTAAAAATCACAGGCCCGGCAAACTTCAAAGTAGATGATCAAGTACGCGTCAGCAAGTACAACAACTTTTTTAAAAAAGGATACACACTAAATTGGACAACCGAGGTGTTTTAAGATTGTTAAAGTGCAGCATACTAATCCGTAACATATCTACTCGAGGATTATCGCAAGACATCTATCGCTGGAGCGTTTTACGAGCACGAGCTGCATCACGCAAATTTTCCGGATGTGTACCTCGTGGAGAAAATACTGCGCAGGAGGGGTGACGAGGTTTACGTGAAATGGCTGGGATTCGACAGTTCGCACCACTCTTGGATACATAAAAACAATGTTATTTAATGTATTTTATTCAATCATTTTATTTTATAACAATAAATATATTTTGTATACCATATACATATAAAATATATAACAAAAATATATATATAACAAAAAATATATATATTTAAAGTGTAAGACAGGCAATAAGAGCCAATCGCGGAAGACAGTGCGTATCCTAACGAAACTAAATTTTTTCGTTAGAATTAAATATCTGTGCACAAGGCACTAAATTTTACTTGATCACGGCCAAGATTTTAAGATATGAAAAAATATATATAATTCTCATTAATACATCCTTACAAAATAATAAATATAATATAAATATAAATATAAATATAATAAATATAATAAATATAATAAATATAATAAATTAATAATATAATAAATATAATAAATATATAATTATAATAAACTAGCTTTTCGGACCGCGCTTCGCGCGGTCCTCAAAGCCTTTCTATTTCGACCGCGCTTCGCGCGGTCCTCATATAGCCTATATTAAATCCGTTTAACACAAAAAATTAATTCTTTTTTGTATTACTACGCGAACTACTTCCATATTTGTTGTCCGACTTTCACGAAATTTATATCAAAATAAATGTTTAAATTTTTTTTGGATGACTACTATGTTATCTATTTCTTTCTCCCAGATATTTTATTTTACACCGCGTTTGCATATATTTAAATATTTATTATATATTTTTTTATTTTATTTTCTTGTTTATTTTAATTTCCACACAATTTCATATTTTTTAAATATAAAACATTAGTTTAGTTAATATATACTTTAAATATTTTTTTTATTACTTAATTATTATATCCTTTTTTACATTTTACTCAATTTTTTTTATTTCTAATGTACCCACCGCTAACCCGCTATTATTAGCTCTCATACAATGTCATAATTCTTCAATTTACAAAATTTCCCTGTATATTACATTTTTTGTAAAACATTTTTTACTTTAATCACAAACACGTACACACATTTTTTAAAAATTACTTCTTGGTGTGACCAAGTCAATAAATGCGTATGCACATGCGGGTACGTAGATACGTGGGTGAGTGCGTGGGTGGATAAATAAAGTGATAAAAATTTGTTAAAATCATATAGTAGCCATCCCGGACAAATTTGAGTACAAATTTCGAAAAAGTCCGTGAATAAATGTTTGAATGCGTGGGTGGATGCATGGGTGGGATAAAACTTAAAAGAACCACACAGCAGCTTTCTCAGAAAAATTTGCAACATTTTTGTACCAATTTCGTAAAAATTGGTCCATAAATGCGCATGCGCGTGGGTGAAGGTGTAACACTTGAAAAAATTACATCGTCGCCATCTCCAAAAAATTTGCAACATTTTGGTACCAATTTTTACAAAAATCCGTTCATAAATATGCGATTGCGTGGGTGGATGCGTGGGTGGGGGCGTAAACCTAAAAAACCCACACAGCAGCTTTCTCAGAAAAATTTGCAACATTTTTGTACCAATTTCGTGAAAATTGGTCCATAAATGCGCATGCGCGTGGGTGGGTGCGTGGGTGGAGGTGTAACACTTGAAAAAACCGCATCGTCTCCATCTCCAAAAATTTGCAACAATTTGGTACCGATTAAAAAAAATCGGTTCATAAGTATGCGATTGCGCGGGTGGGTGCGTGGGTGGAGGCGTAAACTTAAAAAACCCACACACCAGTTTCCTCAGAAAATTTGCAACATTTTGGTACTAATTTCGTGAAAATTGGTCCATAAATGCGCATGCGTGTGGGTGGATGCGTTGGTGGAGGTGTTACACTTAAAAAAAAACCGCATCGTCGCTATCTCCAAAAATTTTGCAACATTTTGATACCATGTGTTCAGAAATATTGCAAAAAAAATTTTTTTTGCAAAAACATACCCTCCTCTGAGGAAAAAAATAAAAATAAAAATTAAAAAAAAAAACCCACAGCAGCCACCCCCGAAAAATTTGCAACATTTTGGTACCAATTTCGAGACAATCGGTCCACAAATGCGGAAGTAGTTCGGGCACAGACAGACAGACAGACAGACGGACGGTGCTTATATATATAGATATAATAAATATAATAATATAATAAATATAATAAATATAATAAATGTAATAAATATATAATTTATTTACAACGATATTCAATAATGTTCCCATGGCAAGGTGTCGGTCAAATCAGGTACGACATACCGCTTGTCGTCGTAGGGACTTAAAGCAATTGTTGTCTCGCTGATGGTATACTAGGGATGTGCCGGATAATAAAATTACCGGATACCGGATATCGGATATCCGGTAATAATATGAAACCGGATACCGGATATCCGGTATTATAAATATCCGGCCGGATACCGGATATTTACCGGATATCCGGTACTAATAAGTAATAATTTCTAACAGTGAAAATATTTATTTAAACACGTGTGAACCAGACTTAATATTTATTATACCATATATCATGTGTTTAGAGTAAATTTAAAATGCCAGTATAATGTATTTACTATTTATAGTATTTATTCGACATTACTCACAAATCACAATCATAATCATAATCAAAATTTAATATTAATAAATTTTTCATGATGAATAATAACATGTCAGCGTTTTCTGGTGACAATCTATTTCGATTATCGGAATAAACCAATTTTCCTGCACTGAAAAGTCTTTCTGAATGCACGGAGGATGGTGGAGCGCTTAAGTATTTCAAAACTAAAGTTTTGAGATTAGGGTATTCTAAAATATGAGTCTTCCACCATGTTAAGGGATCCTCATCTCTCGGTGACAGAGGTAGCATCAGGTATTTTGATAACTCTGCATTATAAACTGCAGCTTTCTTTTTGCTTCTGTCACTGGGTTGTCTTGTAAAAGTTGTTTGACTTGATGAATCCTCAAAACTGCTATTATCGGTATCCGATTTTGAATTGTTCACTATGTCATCAAAGCACTTCCAGATGTCGTCATGTGTTTCACTGATTATGTCTTGCTTTTGAAGAGGGCCGACATTACGTTTCGGTGTTTTGTTTTCATCATTTTCGGTGATTGTATTATTTATTTCGAGTAATTCATTAATGATCCAATCTTTGGCTTTATTTTCGTCTGACAAAAACTTAGTTTTAAATCTTGGATCTAAAAGAGTAGCCAGTACAAAACATTTCCGATCTTTGATGTTGAGTCCTATATGACGATAAAAAATAAAATAATTTATTTTAAAGAAAAAATTAATAACATTGTAAATTTATTGAACAATGGACATTATAACAATACCTATAGAATTAAAAAATCGTTCTTCTATTGCTTTCTTGAGCTCTTCCTTCAACATTACTATTCCAGCATCTTTTTGTCGTTTTGAAAGATATGAATGTAAAGTAACAACTGCTGGAATAATATATCCAATTGTCTCGCAATCAGAACTTAATATTTTAGTAATTTCTTCAAATGGTTGGAAAACACGTATAACGTTTTCTACCATATTCCATTGAATGGCTGTAAGGGTTGGTATATCTCTTTCTGCAGCATATGCAATTACTGCTTGTCGTTGTTCATAAATCCTAGACAACATATAAAATGTAGAATTCCATCGTGTGGTAACATATTGAATTAATTTATGAATTGGTAACTTCAAATTTTCCTGAATGCTATTGAGTTTCGAACAAGCGAGTGCAGAATGGCTAAAATGTCCAACAATTTTCCGACATTTTCCCAAAATTTCAACAAATTTTTGATTTTTAAAAATGCAATCATGGATCACGAGTTGTAAAGTATGAATAATACATCCTACATTTTCTCCTATCATACCTGTAAGATATATGACATAATTAATAATATTTAATGTCGACAATTTAAAATCAAGAATATATTATTTACTAATAAATAAATATTCTTCAATGTAAATTTATTTAAACGTAAATACCAGTTCCAACAATCATATTAGCAGCATTGTCCCTTAAAATTAAATGAATTTGATTAGAATTGATATGCCATTTTTCCATTATATCATTTAATATCTGACCGATATTGACGCCTACTTTTCATGGTAATATATTATTACTAAATTTAGATAATATACACTTTACGTATGTTCACTTTGAACTGGCACCTTGAATAACATATCAGTTACTTTTCGTAATAATTTATTATTAGATCGTTTAAATTTTTGAGTACCTTCTTTTGAACATGGCCTGACCTTTTCATTTTTATGATTTTTTTAGGATATCACTTACTTTTTAAAGTATATATTTTATTTAATCATATATGTAAATGTTTGTATAATTGTAATAACTTTTAACGTCACATTGCACATTTATTTTCAATTGCAACAAATGAATTTATATTCTTGTATGAATATTGAAAATAAAGAATAGGCCCCTCCATCGCCCATTCTCGTGAGAACGCAACCATATATTTTTCTTCGTCTCTCCGATTTTAACACGACATACATATTTCTGTCTGATAATTTTTTTCTTGATGATACTTTTTGAAATGTCATGAAGCCTAGGTCAAATTAGAAACTTATTGCACTCGTTTTAATGCAGCGCTTACAGCAGCTTTTATAAAGCGCCAGAGCAGCCGATATTTTATTTTGGCGCTTACGGCAACTTTTATACAGCGCTAGAACAGTTGATGTTTTAATGTAGCGTTTACGGCAGCCTTTATACAGCGCCATTATTTAATCTGTTCTAAGAACAATATTTATGCCCCTTGTGCTCCTTTGGGCCATTTTTTCTTGAACACTTCCATATCATTAGAGTAATACCATTCCGATTTTGTGTCAGCTCTCAACATACACGTGTAGTGACCACGATTCATTTCTTCACCTTCGTGAAATATAGCGCTTATTAGCTTGTACTTTTTTTTATTAATCGTGATATTACTCGTCGGCACAGCGGTCATTCGATTGTTGATAATTTTTTTAGAAGCACCGTTTAGAAAAGTATATAAATTGAGCTGTATTACTACGACGGATAAAGTTGATTCGATTACGGTTTTCTTTTCCAACACGGTGCCCTTACATTCGTTACAATTGCCGTTTATCGTTTCCCATTTAGAAAATTCTACATTAATCAAACTTTGTAGAGTGACACCTTTTTTCCTTTTTAATGTCGAATGTATAGGTAATATTTACAAACTACTGCTTTCCAGCTTAGTTACATTGTAATTACATTTGACATTCGAGCAACATATTACGTGCTTTAATTCGAATTTTAATACATCATTGATGTCGGAATACGTCGACATTAGAGCCGTAAAAAATTCCGAAACATCTTGTTGTGTTCGTTCTTCGAAGCGTTTTCCGACAGATCTTCTAACCGCTTGAATGTTGCAATATTTACGTTCACCATACGCGCAGATAGCATCAGTCAATGCATTCGATGCTTTATTTTTCAGTATTTGTTGCCTAATACGTACGCAATGAAACGCACATTGTAATATTACATTAGCGTAACACGAAACAGCATCGTTATTGCAAAGGCCATATATTTTCCACGTAACTATACTTTCTGGTTCCTCACAATCATAATTCTGCATATCATCAATGATATTAGGGATATCCTGTGGCGATTACATCGTCACATACTGTAACGGCGTGGCCGTTACTAACGCCTCGCGGGCCGATTACCCGCCCGCCACTTGAGGCTATGGCGCCTAAGGCGCCCCTAAACACAAAAACATAAGCGATACACGGGTCACCCTACCCCAGGGGCGCCCCACTACAACCCCCAGAGGCGCCCCACTACGACGTCGGCGTTACCCCCACCACAGCCTCGATGTAGAGTGGGGGAACCGCCGCAGGGTATATAAGCCGGCTCTGTAATATAAATGATACACACTGGCTTAAAAAATGCGTTTGTTTACCAACATTAATATATATAACAGAGAAAAGTATAGAATCGAAAGGATCTGAATAGCTCAGCTGGAAGAGCAGTCGCCCGGCAAGCGAAAGGTCTCGGGTTCGATTCCCGATTCAGCGATTTTCGGATCTATATGTTCTCTTGCATTCATTTATTTATTTTCCGTAGGGGGGTTAAAGGGGTATTGAAATTAAATCTCAAAATATGAGATTATTTCATATTTAAAATCTTGGCCGTGTCCAAGTAAAAATTTGGTGCCTTGTGCACCGGTATTTAATTCTAACGAAAAATTATTTAGTTTCGTTAGGATAACGCATTGTCATCCGCGATTTGGCTCTTGTTGCCCGTCTTATACGTTAAATTTATATTTATATTACAGAGCCTTGTTAAAACTCTTATATTTGATACACGCTGGCTTAAAAAATGCGTTTGTTTACCAACATTAATATATATAACAGAGAAAAGTATAGAATCGAAAGGATCTGAATAGCTCAGCTGGAAGAGCAGTCGCCCGGCAAGCGAAAGGTCTCGGGTTCGATTCCCGATTCAGCGATTTTCGGATCTATATTTTTCTCTTGCATTCATTTATTTATTTTCCGTAGGGGGGTTAAAGGGGTATTGAAATTAAATCTCAAAATATGAGATTATTTCATATTTAAAATCTTGGCCGTGTCCAAGTAAAAATTTGGTGCCTTGTGCACCGGTATTTAATTCTAACGAAAAATTATTTAGTTTCGTTAGGATAACGCATTGTCATCCGCGATTTGGCTCTTGTTACCCGTCTTAGACGTTAAATTTATATTCATTTTTGACACTATTAACGATAGTCTCAAAACTCTTTTTTATACTAGAAGTAATGTTAACAACAACAGTCAAAATCAGTCGAAGGATTCTCATTTGTTTTTTTACTGTGCCTTACTTACCAAAGGCTACTGAACAATTGATAGGTATTACAACAAAAGTCGATACTAGACTCTCCTACATGAGCATGAATAAATTAGGTAAATTTATTAAAACACACAAAGACAAAATACCTAAAGGAGCGAATACGAATGTAGTTTATAAAATTAACTGTAAAAACTGTGATGCCTCATATGTGGGTCAACTAGCAGAAAACTGAATACTAGGATAACTGAACATAAAAAACATATTAACAGAAAGTGTTCCAATAAATCAGTTGTTACTGATCATAGATTAGAGTTCTCTCATGAATTTGATTGGGATGAGGTAATAATTTTAGATAAAGAACCATTTTACAATAAAAGACTTATATCAGAAATGTTATATATAAAAAGACAAACTAATGGATTGAATCTACAAAACGACACTGAATTTTTGCCTGATATATACAATAATATTATAGATTCTTTACCAAAATTGCCAGGGTTTGCAAACAGACCTTGATATGTATAATAAAGGTGAAACACCGAGTTACTGCCTCATTTGTGATTGGGAGTTGAGACGGTAAAGACGTTCTTAGTAAACTTTTGTTTTTGAAAAAACTGTGTCTATGAAATCTCGCGTCTGATACTTGAAACTTCTATTAAATAATCGCCAATTTTATTTGAGTGAGTGTACAGTGCATGTTATTTTTCAAAAGTATAGTAAATAATTGAATATTATTTATTTAGATCTCCATTTAATGTCTAACAACATTTCAATATGACGATTCAATCAAGATATTTCCCTTGACCAATAAATCAGGAGGCCTATACACAGTGATTACATGGCACTGTCGCTCGATCTCAGTATGTATCAAAAATTTGCACTTGTCACACGCGATGACTTATTTAGAAACATATGTAATGAGACAAAAAACTGACTTTTTATTATCTTGACATCGTTGATTGCCGTCTTTAATGTTCAATATTACATTTCAATTTATATAATATTTGTATTGCGTTGAGGAAGGCTCGAAATGTCAGCCGAAACGTTCGCTCTAATGTGTATTTCTTATGTATATATTATTTCGTTAAAATGCGAATAAATGATCACTTCTTATTTATTTCTTGCTACGTTCAAATGAAGTTTTGTTATATTTTTTAATATTAACTGACAACTTGTTATGTTTAATAGCTCTTATAGCCCTTCTTTGTTTACAATTATTTATTTAATTATTTCACGACGTTTCGACCATTTGGTTGTGGTCCTTTTCAAGTGAAATTTCCATCAATTAAACCGAGGTTAACGTAACATTACACTGGTGTTATTTAAAATCGAAAGTTAAAAGTTAAAAGAGGAACACGTCCCATCATAATGATGTTGAAAGTTAAAAGTTAAAAGAGGAACACGTCCCATCGTTATGATGTTTCGTCAACGACCTATATAATTCGTCAACAATTTATATAATTACTCAAAAAACTATGTTGCATGTAATTAGTTGCCCTTTCCATTTTAATATTCAAATGAATATTTTTAATATTCAAAATTTAACATTCAAATATTCAATTTGAATTTAATATTCTAAATTAATTATTTTCAAGCTACTACTCTTTGAATTTTATTTTCGCGAAATAAGTTTTTGATTATTTTTCAAATTTATCTGAAGATAAACATATCTTAAAATAAAAAATAATTTTAACTCAACAAGTTATTGATTATAACAATTGTTTTGTAAAATATGAATAAAAAATATTTGAAGTTTTTATATAATTAGTATTTCAAAAAATAATTATTATATGTATGGTAAAATTTTAATTTATTCTTTTAAATATCTATTTAAATATTGAAAAAAATTATTTTAAAGATTTTCGATAAAATTGATTTTATATATTATATAAACTTGTATAAAAAATATGACAATTATAAGTATGTAGAATAACAGAATTTATAAAAAATTAGATTTGTTACTCATAAAAAACATTATGTTCAAAATCTTACTGCTATTTTTAAATCTCTTCACGAGCGTGTCACTGTAGCGCATTTCTAAGTGAAGGAGTAATTGGAGAATACGATAATCAATGAATATCGTACACATATCCTTTGTCTGTAGATTAAATGTACGTTTTGTCTCAAGATTATCCCATATATCGTCTACTAGTGATCGAGCCTTGCAAAAAGACCAACTAAAAAATAATTTAATAAAAATATCATTAAACTAAAAATAATAGTAAACGTAATGCGCTGAGATTTTTATTTTATTAATCATTCCGCAAACTCTTCGAGAAAGTGTGTTATTTATAATACATGCATATATATATATATACTGTGTATGATTTTGTACTATGTAATAATAAATCTAAGAGCATTATGATTAAAATTCAGCAAGTTGCATAAATTTGTAATTATATATAACACACAAATAGGTAAATAAATATTTATTAAAAAAATAGATAAATATCAAAATTTTTTAGATTTTTAAAATAGAATATATAAAGGATCAATTAAAATAACACAAACAATTTTAACACAGAATATTATTTTCAGACACAGATGAAAGCTTTGCCAATTAAGACAGATAAAATTAAAATATTAATAATTTATCGATATTAAAGTAAGAAATTTCAATAATTTTTCTGAAAAAGCCACAAAATGTCAACAAATTAATATAATTTATGTTAAGGGGATGCCGGAGGTCTACTTTTACCGGCCGAACGATTATATTTTTCCAACACCAAGAAGTTTTTATTGCGTTAATAGAATAACAAATGCTTTTCCACGATTAAAGTTAATACAATAATAAAGTACGCAGCTGTCTCAATTTGTGATAAAAAGACAAAAAATTTTTAAATACGAGTTTCTTTTCTGGCTTCTCGCGTCACGTCATAACAATATTTGCTTGTATAAAAGTTTCACAATTTATATGTACAAAATAAGACCGCTTCGTCCAAAAGATTGCATAAAGGAATATTAGTAAGCTTGCAGAAATAAGTTTAGAAGTCTAATAAAAAGATCTTGGTGTTGGAATATTTCATTCACATGTGTATGTGCGAAATGACATTTAGGAACAGTGTTGTTAGACGGGCTAGGTTTTTTTCGCGCATGCGCGTATTACCGTGACGTAACCATGACGACTACAGTAACGTATGATGTTTGCGCGCGCAACTATGGACCAAGACCCTGGACCACGGAGTTTTGGCGGAATCGCAGGAAACAGATAATTTAACGTACGTAAAAATAAATAAATTATTACAATATATGTAATATAAAAGTGTATTATTATAATTTATGTATATTAAATTATCAATAATTTAAATTATAAATTGTATAAATAAAAATAAAATCTCGACGGCAATCGGAGCCTGTGCGGATGACATGCACAAATTAATAAATTAAAATGAGATCTCAAGTCAAACTCATTTATTAAAATCTAAACGTTTCGACCCACTTCGGGTCTTCTTCAGTAGCTGCAAAATACAAAGAAACAAAAAAATAAAAGATAATCGGTACAATCAGAAAATTATAAAACTCGTATACATACAATCCGCAAATAAATTAAATATCATTCTCCTCCCTATTCGAACCGTCCGGTCGTCGGAGTGTCTCCCTAACGGTGACCATCGTCAGGAAGGAAGCAGAGCAGTGACTCCCTTACCAACACTAATCAACATAGTATAAATTAAACGTGTAAGATCCCCAAGAATTATAAATTAAAAACCGGGAAGAACACTCACCCCGACAGCAAAAACAGAGAGAAGACGATGCTACACGTGACACATCACTCTAACGACTGTGCGGTATTCTACCTCGACACAGTCGATACATATATACGCAAAAAAACACAAAAATAAAATATGAAAATAAAAATAAAAACAACTAATACTTATCGGCACTCATGTCAAAGGTCTAACGAAAAAATCCGGTTATGTCTAATCACAAAGCTAGATTTTGGTAAATTTTTCAATTAACAGATCAAAATTCTCGTTTAATTTGTCGGTATCGCTATGTAAATTTAAACTATTCTTCTGACGCTTAATGTGGATCATTTCGGATATCAAACGTTTACCTAAAAAAGGCTCCTCATCCAAGATTTTTACATCCTCCCAATTAAATTCATGGTTCAATAATCTATGTTCCGATATGACTGATAATTGTGACGCGTTTCTTTTTATGTTGCTGCGATGTTCTTTCATCCTAGTTTCAACAATCTACCCGTCTGCCCTACATACGACGCATCACAATCCATACAATCAATTTTATAAACTACATTGTTATGGAGTTCCCTTGGTAACTTATCCTTGTGTACTTTGATGAATTTACGGAGACTGTTAATTGCTGTATAGGATGGAATGACATCCAAATCACGTGTAATGTCCTCGATTCTCTTTGATACATTATTGATATACGGAATATTAAAGTACGAAACTTTTTTCTGCGTTGGAATCTTGTCATTGCATATATTTGTTCTATTGTTATGCAACTTATTATTGTACCGGAAGAACAACTTTTTTAACCGCGCTTGTAATGTTTGAAATATCAATTTGAGAGGATAATTATTAGACAAAAGAACTCCAATCATAGACTCAAAATTATCTTTATGGAATTTCGGATGAGATAGCCAAAAAACTCTATCTATGAGGCTGATAATGGTGCCTTTTTTATGGCAGAGAGGATGCTGCGACTCAAAATTTAAATATCTACCTGAATACGTCGGCTTATGAAATAAATCAAACTCAATGCTTCCATTATTTATAATAATAGTGACGTCTAAAAAATTCAATCGGTTGTCAACCCCTTCCTCCATGGTGAACTGCAATCTAGGATGGAAAGAATTGAAAGTGTTTAAAACAATTTTAAGCATGGAGGGAGGGGCCGCCAACGCGATATCGTCAACATATCTAAAATAAAATGGAAATGACATTGGAAT